TTTCCGTGAAAATAACTGTAAATATTAAGGATAAGCCTGGACTGGAAGGCTCTATGGCAGATTCTTACCCCACATTGTTTTAAATCAGTGTTTATTCATCCTGGCAAGAAAACACAAGGTCTCTGGATCAGAGGACAGACCAAATTCATTCACACAGTAATCTCAGAGCTGGCTCCCCACGCCCAGGTCCTCACAGGCAATGTGGAAAGAGCCAAGTGCACCCCGAGTGTACAGGGGGTCTATAGCAGGAGGGGAGCCCCAACATTGTGACTCTTGGAGCTTATGCGGGACAACATGCCAGCCCCCTCCCGAGCTTTACCCTGGAAGGAACTGACTCCAACTCCTTCAGAGGAGAGGAGGAGGAGATCACTAGGTTTCCAGCCCTTTGAATGTAAACAAATGTCTCGGGGCAGAGGTCCCTAAGTCTCTCTGGCGGTCTCTGTCTTTAACTTCCAAGGCCGTTCTTAATCTGTCATCCTTTATCCCAGGTGCCAACAGTCTTTGCTGAGACGCCCTGACCACGGGCAAGCATGAAAATATTCATGAAGCATCACTTCCCCACACACATCTCCTGAATTGAAAAGTAACAGCCACCACCTCTGAGTGTCAGCTATGTGCTGGAATTGTAAATGTGGTGTGAGCTGGTCACGATGGGTCCTGTTATCCTCTTTCAGCAGATAGGAAGCTGAGACTCAGAGACTGAGAGACTGCCTGGAGATGAGACAGCAAGGAAGGGAAGAGCTGAGATGAGACCTAGATTTGTGAACGCCCCAAGCCCATGTTCTCCTGTCTACCACTTGGCTTCCCCAAAGTCTGGTCAAGTTGGTTTTAACAGAGTTGATTAGTCGCAGTGAAGCATTTGAAAAACCTTCTATTTATTCAACATCTACTATGTGCCAGGCATTGTTCTAGGCAGGGAAAAATGGGAGAGACATGGTCCTTTGTTCTGATGGGACCCACCCAGGAGAGAGACGCAGACATTAAAGAAAGAATCACCCAGAGAGAAGTACCCTTGTGATAACAAGGGTGGCAGGTGAGGGAGGATGAGAAGTGCAGGCTGAGGGCTGTCCTCAGAGACTTCCCTGGGGAGGGAACATCCCACCATGGCCCTGAGGCTGAGTTTGAAGGCTGACCCAGGCAGGGTGTGGGAGAAGGGTGACCCAGGCAAGGTGTGGGAGCACTGGGGGGCCACTGCAGGTTTGAAGCAGGGGAAGAAGGGATGGGATTCGCTGAAGTGACTTCTCATTCATGCTAGGTAGACAGATGTTCTCGTGAAAGCAAAACCCTTTTCTGCTCTTTCCTGGGGACTGGGGAAGAAAGGATGAAGGACTTGAGAGAGAACACATTCAGGGAAATGCAGATTGCTTAGAATTAGGTTTATGGTTTTTTGGTGACAAGGGCAGTAACCCAGCAAGTCACGGCCACAGGGGAGAACGGCTGGTAGTGATTTTTCTGCATCTCTTCCTTCCATGTTCACCTGGCTATCAGCCTGGGGGGCCCTGTGGAAGGTTTCAAATGTGTGCTTCAGGCCGTCTTGCCAGACCCCTGGGCAGTCGGTAGGAGGGCAAGCAGGCAGCTTCCAGAGAAACTGCCGAACTCACTGCCACCACACCCCTAGGAACCAGTTCCAATCGGGGCCACAGTCATAGCAAACAATGGTAATATTTACCAAGTATTTCTGGAAAAATGAGTGCAAAGTGCAGGAAACGCAGTGCAAATTGCTAGAACGCAGTACATTAGCAACATAGGATATTTAATGAGTCTGGGAAGAGAGGTATGAATTTCAGGAAAATGTCAATTGCCGCAATGTAAACAAGACGCTTCTCAATATCTCATTCTCCGTAGGACTTTATTTCAGTCTTTGGTTATAACTAGTTCTGTGATTCTTGGGAGAGACTTCATTCTAAGCATCAAGGAGGGGAAAATTGGAGAATTTGGGGAAAGAGAGGAGTGGGGGTTGCTAGTGCATCATGGACTAGCAGAGAGCTTTGGGGGCACTGGCACGATCCCATTTGAGGAAAACTGAAACTGCAGCTGGGGCTGGTGTGCTTCCAGGCAAAGTGTTTGCTGTAAAAACTGGGCCCATAGTGGGTGCTATGGTCTGAATGTGTCCTCCCAAAATTCATATGCTGAAATCGAATCCCCAAGACAATGGTTTAGGTGGGACCTTTGGGAGGTGGTGAGGTCACAGGGTGGGGGCCCTTGTGGATGGGATTAGTGCCTGTATAAGGGAGATCCCAGAGAGACTCCTCGCGTCTTCCACCAGGTGAGGATAAAGCAAGAAGGCACCATCTGTGAACCAGAAAATAGGCCCTTTCCAGGCGCTGAATCTGACTTGATCTTAGACTTCCCCGGCACCCAGTTTATGGGATTGTGCTATAGCAGCCCAAATGGACTAAGACAGGGGGACAGCTGCTCACATCTCACTGGGTTGCAGGTGGGGATGGTGTCTTGTCCAGGAAAGGGAAAGACTGAGGTCAAGGTCAGCCAGTGCATTTCCCGTCTCACGCAGCCCTGTTGCTGGGGACCGAGGAGGGACCTGGGAAATAGGCACTGACAGCCTTGTCCAAGTGGCTCCACCTAGACCCACTTCTTCAGCAGCTCGATCTATGGTCAAGTAAGGTCAGGAAGCCCAGGACCCATGGGCTACAGGCCAGCAGGGTGCTCACTTGTCCCCCTTCTCTGCAGTTCCTGACAGCCTCCTCATGAAGGTGCTGAGCCAGCGCCTGGACCAGCAGGACTGCATCCAGAAAGGCTGGGTGCTGCACGGCGTCCCACGGGACCTGGACCAGGCACACCTGCTGAACAGCCTGGGCTACAATCCCAACAGGTGAGTGGCCTCAGCCAAGCCCGCAGCCCTGGCCAAGCCCCTGGGCACCCCCGCTCCAGGGCTTAGCTGATGGGGTCCAGGTTACACAAGCCTTCACGTGTTCCTGAAGTGGAATGTCTCCTGGTCACCCCCATTCCCACTCACCCCATCTGCCTAGTGGACTAGGAGTCGGGCTTGGATTCAAATACTGGCTTTCACTCTCCTTGCTGGACCCTCATCTGTAAAACAGTAGTAAATACCAGTCTTGGCTTCTTTGGGAAATTGTTATACAAATCAACGGATGTTTTCTTCTACTATTTTTACAGTTTCATTTTTACATTTAAATCTTTCATGCAGCTGATATTTATTTTGACGTGAGTAGGCAGTATGAATCGCCTTTTTTTTTTCCCCAAATGGTTGACCATTTGTTCGGACTGTTGACTATCATTGGATGTTCTGTCTTCCCTCTACTAGTTTGAACTTGAGAGCTCATTGCAATTGTATATATTGTGGAGAGCAATGAAGCCCACCCAAGTGAAAGCAAACAAAGGCTATTTAGTCTGAGCTTGCAACAGCAAGGGATCAGCCACCATTGCTTGGCGTTTTGGCAGAGACTCACAGGCAGGCGGTGGAGGTGACAGCATTCTAGTGGAAGGTGGGAAAGGCTTTGGTTCTACCATGGCCCAGTTGGAGGCTGTTGGCTTGGGGAAGCTGGGTGGGCTAACTAGAGGTGGGGTCTCCTATGTGATGGGTTAAGGGAACATATTTGGCTTTCTCTGGTTGGTCCTACCTTGCAAATGGTGGCAAAAATGAGGGAAGCTATCAATTCCTGATCAAGTCCTGGCCCTTTGGGGCTGATTGCTGCAGAGATTGTGGTCTGACTCCTTGGGCAGGTTGCTGCAGGTTGTGGGTTCCAGTTCTGTTTTTATATATGGTCTGACCATCATCAAACTGTGTGTTTAGTCTTTCAATATACTGGGCCTGTGTCTGAACTTTCTCTTGTCTGAGTGTCTATTTCTGCAGTAGTACAACTCTGTTTAACTGCTTTACTTTTGTCATATATTATATTTCAATAGTCAATGCAGGATAACGCCCTCTCATTAATCTTTATTGTCTATTTTATATATTTATTATTCCAACTGAACACTATAATGATTTTATCATGTACAAAAAGAAACTGCCATTGAAATTTTAGCTGGAATTGCCTTAGATTTTCAAATTGATCTGTGATATGATTTGGCTCTGAGTTCCCACCCAAATCTCGTCTTGAACTATAATCCCCACATGTTAAGGAGGGACCTGGTGGGAGGTGATTGGATCATGGGGGCGGTTTCCCCCATGCTGTTCTCTTGATAGTGAATGAGTTCTCATGAGATCTGATGGTTTTAAAGTGTGGCACCTCCCCATTTGTTCTGTCTCTCCTGCTGCCATGTAAGATGTGCTTTGCTTCCCCTTTACCTTCTGCCATGACTGTAAGTTTCCTGAGGCCTCCCCAGCCATGTGGAACTGTGAATCAATTAAACCTCTTTCCTTTATAAATTACCCAATCTCAAGTAGTTCTTTATAGCAGTGTGAAATGAACTAATATAACACGTTACAGTTTGACATGGCTATATCCTGTCTTTGCTTCTAGTGAAAATATCAACACTTCCTTGGGTCTTGCATTTTTAATTTTTTTCCTAGGTGTATTATCTCTTGTTCTTCTTACTGATATTATAGTAAGATCTTTTCATTCCGTATTTTCTAAGTGGGTTTTTCAAGAGTGTAGAAAAGACATTGATTTTGGCTTACTTATTTTGTACTCCAGCCACCTTCTCAAACCCTCCTACTGTTTTGGATAGTTTTTCAGTTGATTCTCTTGGGTTTTTCAGGTAGATGATCATGTCATCTACAAATACTCATCCTTTTGCCTCTTCCTTTTCAATATTTATACTTTTCATTTTACTCTTGTTGGGCGGTACTTTCAGAACAGGGTGTCATGATCGACAGGGTGGTTTTTCCTGACCATAAGGGCTGTCTGACATTAAGGTGCTACTGGCTTTTGGTTTGAAGTGCATACAATTCGTATGAAGTTAAAGAAGTATAGCACCGTGATTTAAAATCTCTTGTTAATGTTGAATTTTATCAAGAGCTTTTCAGCATCCTTTAAAATTATTTTTTCTCTTTTTGACATATTGATATTATAAATTATGTTAATAATAGTAAGCCAATCTTTTGTTTCTATAATAACTGATTTGGTCATGGCATATTGTTTTTTCATGGTATATTATTCTACTGCTTGTGGCAGATAGAATTTTGACCCTTATGACCTTTACCCCCCTGCTGTCATGCCTCTGAATGTATATCATATGACAAAAGGGACTTTGCATATATACTTAAGATTACTAATCAGTTGACCTTAAAATAGAAAGGTCAACCTGGACTATCTGGGTGGGCCCAGAATAATCACACAAACCCTTAAAAGCAGAGTTCCCTCCTGACTGAGGGCAGAAGAGGAAGTCAGAGAGATTTCTAAGCATGACATAGCATTGGTGGCTCAAAGATGGGGGCCATGGAAAATGTGAGAAGAAATTAATTCGACCAACAAACAGTGAGCCCCAGGTGAGAACTATAGCTCTGGCTGATACCTTGACCTAAGTCCAGTTAGACTCATAGCAGATTTCTGACCTACAGAAACTGTAAGATAATACATTTGATTATCTTTTTTTCTTTTCTTTCTTTCTTTTTTTTTTTTTTTGAGACGAGTATCACTCTGTCGCCCAGGCTGGAGTGCAGTGGCATGATCTCTGTTCACTGCAACATCTACCTGCCAGGTTCAAGCGATTCTCCTGCCTCCTCCTCCTGAGTAGCTGGGATTACAAGTGTGTGCCACCACGCATGGCTAATTTTTGTATTTTTATTAGAGACAGGTTTCACCATGTTGGCCAGGCTGGTCTTGAACTCCTGACCTCAGGTGGTCCACCCGCGTTGGGCTCCCAGAGTGCTGGGATTACAGGCATGAGCCACTGCACCTAGCCAAATATGAGTATCATTTTTTTCTTTTTTTTTGAGATGGAGTCTCGCTCTGTCTCCCATGCTGGAGTGCAGTGGTGCGATCTTGGCTCACTGTAAGCTCTGCCTCCCAGGTTCACGTCATTCTCCTGCCTCAGCCTCCTGAGTAGCTGGGACTACAGGCGCCCACCACCATGCCTGGCTAATTTTTTGTATTTTTAGTAGAGATGGAATTTCACCATGTTAGCCAGGATGGTCTTGATCTCCTGACCTCATGATCTGCCCACTTGGCCTCCCAAAGTTCTGGGATTACAGGTGTGAGCCACCGTACCCGGCCCAAATCTGAGTATCTTTAAGCAGCTAAGTTTGTCATAACACGATAATGGCAGCGCAAGAAATTAAGATGCTGTTGGATTGTATTGGCTACATTTTTATTTAGTTTTTTTGCATTAATATGCATATATAGTATGGATTAGAATTTTTCCACATTCTTGTGCTTTGTTAGGCTTTAGTACCAGTAATGTGAAAGTTTCATAGATTTTCTTTCTTTCTCCATATCTGAGAGAGTTTTTAAAACTCCAGCAGTAACTGTTTTTAGGATCTGGCACTTACGGGGCAGAGGTAGCTTGTTAACAATTTGATTGATTTTGTTCATGGTGTTTGGTCAATTCAGATTTCTCTCTTTTCTTGTGCAATTGATCTCTTCCTAGAAAATCATCCCTTTCCCTATCTTTAAACATATTAACATAATTTGAATATCTTGTGCCATTAATTTTTATTGTGTTTCCTACAGTTTTTGCTTTATGTGTTTTGGTGCTATGTTATTTAGTGCATAAAGGTTTCTGTCAGCTGTGTGTTCATTGTGAAATGTATTCTTGATGAAAGTGACCGTCAGTGACAGACAGCTAATTATCTACCCCAACATTTGTTCTAACTTTCCTCCTCAATAACAAAAGATCGATTTTCCGAAGAGTACATTGGTGTCTGAAAATAAAAGATCCCATTTTCCAGTCTTCTTTACAGCTATATGGAGCCACAAAACTAAGTTCTGGCCAATGAGATATAAGCATATAGTTGTGTGGTTTTTCCAGGAAACCTGCTTTAAGGCATCTAACTCAGCTGGAAGGTGTTAGCTTTTTTTGTTGTTATTTTGCCTTTCCTTTCTTTTCGATTTTCCTGAAGTTAATAATCATCTTGCTTTTTCACTTGTCTAGTTTTCTTTGTATCTATTAGTTAATTATTTCCACATTTCATAATAGCCTTTCAGAACAATTTCCCACAAAGTCCATCATATTGTGTAATCTATCAGTTTCAGGTTGTTTTTTCTTCTTGGTCACTCCCATTCCTCTCCTGTTTGGACTGGATTTTTTCTAGGCTTACTGCATAGTTGATCATGAAGAGCTTTTCTTTACTATAATCAGAGGAATTCCCCTTGGCTTTCTTTTGAGTTGGAGTCTCTGTTTCCTAAGTCACACATCTTCCTTTTATATACCCCCTTGATTTGACAAAGCATAACCTCTAGTTGCGTCTTAAGTTAAAAAGATGGTTTAAAAGCAGTAGGTTGTTACACCGGCAACACATGTGTTCTAAATTGAAGAAGTCACCTTTTATGACTGTACACAACAATCATTTTGGGATTGTCTTTCACTACTACACTGAAGATTGTCTTTACCCCTCTCCCATGTTAGATATTTTATTTCTATATCACATGGCTTCCTTTTTCTTGGTTTACTACCTTGTTTTGGTTGAACACATCTATCAGTAACTTCCTGAGAAAGAGTGTATGGCAGGTAAATTTTGAGGGGCCCTACTATTCTATCTGAAAGTGTCTATTCTGTCTTCATACTTGTTAGATAGATTGACTGGGTGAGAAATTATAGGCTGGAAATGATTTTCCCGTCGAATTTTGAATCTCCAGTGTTGCTAAGAAGTCCAATGCCGATCTGATCCTGATCCTTTATATGTGACTTTTTTCTTTCTGTGGAAGTTTGTAGGCTCTTTCCTTTGTCTCCAGGGTTCTGAAATTTCAC